AAAAAAAAAAAAAAAAAAAAAAAAAAAGAGAGAAAAATATGTAATTTATTAAAAATCAAAGCTTTTTAATTCTTTTGGTTGATTTCCAACATTATGGGTATAATTTACTGTTGATATACTTCAGTTCTTGAAGGATGTTGGTTGAAGAAGAACAATAGTTTTTTTTTTTTTTTTTTTTTAAGAAGAACAATGGAGAATTAACAAAATATATATATATATATATATATATATATATATATATATATATATATAACAAAAAATAAAACATTTCACGTGAAAAGAGTATATTTCACGACAAATTTTCATTTTGGTTGCCATCTTTAAAATTCTCTCTCTCTTTCACTCTCATTACAGATCCCTGTTTTTTTCCATCATATATCATATGCTCTGTGCCAAACGCCAGCCTCATCAACATACAAACAAACAAAATTATTCTCCAATATTATATCCTCTCTTTTCCCCTTCACAATTTTCATTCCTTCCTGTTCTTTCAATATTGTTGACTTATTACTCCCGCTCTTCAAGATTTTATTGACACACCTAAATTAAAGATCAATTAAAGAGAGAAACGAGTGTCAGTGAAGATACTGAGTCTCGAAGGAGATAGATTGTGATATCCCATATCAGTTTGTGGAAATTTCTCCCTAGCATATGTGCTTTAAAAACCTTGAAAGGAAGTTCAAAAGAAAAAGTAGAAAAAGAAATAATATTGACTAAAGCTATTACATATAACTCTGGTATAAGTTGTATAGTTATAGATACGAAGAGTCTATATATATCTACAAATAAAAAATAAATAATAGGATTTTATGATATAAAAAAAAATAATAGGAGTAATTATTTAAGGGTTGAAAATATGCAACATACGCATATGATGGTGAGTTCATTTCCCGGAAACATGGAATATATTTGAAACTAATATATAAATTAATAGGATTTTGTAGTAGTAGAGGATCCCATATTGAAAAGGACAGCGTGGAAAATAATTAAATTATAAACCTTCTGAGCTAACCCTATTAACCCCTACCACAATGCCATTAGAAGCTACGACTTTGCTTAAATAATTTAAATACTCATATGAACTATAAACCATTTTCTGGTCGGTGCAATTATATTTATATTTATTTCCCATCTTTAATTTACCTACTCACTATCAAATATCAATATAATAACATAATTTTCAAAATTAGATTTAGACTAAAAATATATATAATTATTATATTTTAGGAGAAATTGAATTGGACGAATCTTTTGTATAGAGCACTAATGCATCACTTATTTATTTAAGGGATGATCGAATACACGTTTTTTTTTAAATATTATCAACAATAATTAATTAAATTGAATCTTATCTTTAGTTATTATTTAATTTTTTAGGATATTATTTATTTATTTGAATCTTTTTTTAAGATGACTCGAATAAATTATGTTGAAGAGATTTATTAATTGAATTCATTATTATTTGATTCAACTAATATTCACTCGACAACTCACTAAAATTTCATATGGTCCCATAACTAATCTATTAATAAATCTTGGAAGGTCTAATAGATTTCAAATGTTAATGAATCTTTCAAGACCACTTTGTAATAAAATTATTACATATGGTCCCATAACCAACCTATTAATAAATTTTGGAAGGTCATTT